CCAGTTCAACCAATTAACTGTAGGACTTGCTCCTGATTGGAGAGCAGCGTACTCGGCGTGTGGGCAGCCGAGTTGGGATTGGCAGAGAAGGACTATAAAGGAGGAGAGAGACGGCATGCACCAGGAACATCTATGGGAAACATCTAAGGGGAACACCTGTGCAGCCCCCAGAGAGCCGGCCGGCGGTGTGCCGCTCCCCTGCGGAAGTGGGGAATGCGGCCAGGGGGAACTGCCCTTCCACGGAGGTGGAAGGGATAGTAGCCAACCCGGGAAGAACCAGCAGCAAACCCGGGGAGGGCCGAGCAGACGAAAGAACAGCGCAGGGTCCTGTGTTGCTCCTCCACGAAGAGGGGGAGCGACAATATAGAGAGCTTTTCTCCATGTAATTATGATTTTCAATGGTTATGTAATATCACAAAGTACAGGCAAACCATACTTCATTAAACATTTCCCAATTATAAGGGATAGCTTCAGCTTTTTGCTGTTTTTTCAAAATAATAGTAAACATTATTCTAATGTCCTTAGAATAAATTCCTTGAAGAAGATTTAGTGGGACAAAGGATATTGTTTCCTGGAAAGATTACACAAATTTACACTCTCAGTCTAGTACACTGAAAGCAGCCATTTTATACAACTGTCTCCATTACTGGGCTGTACTTCAAAAGGAAAGTCTGCCAAACTGACAGGTAAAACATACCGCACTTTGTTCTTTGATTACTAGGGAAGTTCAACATTTTATATGCTTATTTATTTCACTTGCTTATCTTTTGAGTACATTTTTCAAGTTTTCTAGTGGAGAATTAGCCTGCTTCTTATTCATCTGTTAGAAACTTACAGTGTACATACATGGTATAAATATATTTCTCAAGTTTTTAATTTTTATCTTATTTATGATGTTTGATGAACAAAAGTATTTAAAATCTCTCTAACCCAGTTTCACCATTCTATTCAGACATTTTCTCCCAGTAAAGAGTGTTAGATCTTTACTCCTTGCTCTTTCTTAATCCCACTTCATCAATTCCAAAGTAATACTATTAATGTTATATGCTACTTAAGTCTGGTTTGGCATCTAAGAGCTCTGTATGTACAATTCTGCTTAAATAAGTCTTCAAAATGAAAACAAAGGAAAAAGATATATACTGGAAAATCTATGTGCCCTGTTGTGTTCCACACAACAGACAAGCTAGAAAAATGGAAAGGCTGCATACAATAAAAAGGAACAAACCTTTTCCAAACCTGTGTTTCAATTCTGAGCTATATTTCCTTTTAGTCTCATGGAATCTTATCCATTTTTATTCCTTTGACCTTCTTCAAAAATGCCTCCTTAAAGCAGGAAAACTGCATAGGTTTTTATTTCTAACTTTTCAAAAATATGATGATTTAGCTACATTCTCTGACTTCCACTGTAACTCTCAAGAGTTCTCATAGCAAAAGTTAGGTTTGGGAAAGTAATTTCTCTACTGTCAATAGAGCAATCATTTATCTGACCCCACCACCTTTTTTAGAAGAATGACTGAATTCACATCTGTGAAAAGCATTCTGTGTTTCTCTGCTTTTCAATTAACTGTCCTGTTTTTCATAGCTTGTATAAGTTTATATGCAAATATACAATTTTCCTGATATTTAGCATTATTCCACATCTTTTCCTCAGGTTTGTTTCTCAAACTTGTCTGTTAAAGAGTCTTCAGGTGAGTCCAGTTCTAATACATTTTTTTTTTTTTTTTTTGGACAGGCAGAGTTAGTGAGAGAGAGACAGAGAGAAAGGTCTTCCTTTTTCCATTGGTTCACCCCCAAATGGCCGCTGCGGTTGGCGCGCTGCGGCCAGCACACTGCGCTGATCTGAAGCCAGGAGCCAGCTGCCTCCTCCTGGTCTCCCCTGCGGGTGCAGGGCCCAAGGACTTGGGCCATCCTCCACTGCACTCCCTGGCCACAGCAGAAAGCTGGCCTGGAAGGGGGGCAAATGGGACAGAATCCGGTGCCCCAACCGGGATTAGAACCCGGTGTGCCGGTGCTGCAGGTGGAGGATTAGCCAAGTGAGCTGTGGTGCTGGCCCAGTTCTAATAAGGTTTAATGACTATCTATACTAGTCCACATTTATTCCATTATATTAAAATTTCATAGAATTTTGCTTGATTTATTCCCTATGTTCTGAACATTAGAATATAGAAACCTGAGGCCACAAGTAATGTCTTTGACCCATCCTTCTTCTGAGTATTTTCTATTATATAATGAGCAACCTGTCAATTGATTTATGTGATCTATGTGATGACCTTCATGATACTCACTTTATAATTTTACTTGTATTTTTAAATAAAATATTGATCTACTTATCAAATTACCAGATAAATAAATTTTTTCAATTCCTGAGAAATGAAGCAAACATAAATCAAATCATTCAAGGGATCTTAGGACAATGTCCAGAAAATCAACTCATTATCTAAATGACACTGATAATCAGTCACCATTTTTCTTTTTTCTTTTTCTTTTTTCTTTTTTGACAGGCAGAGTGGACAGTGAGAGAGAGAGACAGAGAGAAAGGTCTTCCTTTTGCCATTGGTTCACCCTCCAGTGGCCACCGTGGCCAGCGCGCTGTGGCCGGCACACCGCGCTGATCCGAAGGCAGGAGCCAGGTGCTTCTCCTGGTCTCCCATGTGGGTGCAGGGCCCAAGGACTTGGGCCATCCTCCACTGCACTCCCTGGCCACAGCAGAGAGCTGGCCTGGAAGAGGGGCAACCGGGACAGAATCCGGTGCCCTGACCGGGACTAGAACCCGGTGTGCTGGCGCCGCAAGGTGGAGGATTAGTCTATTGAGCCGCGGCACCGGTCGCAGTCACCATTTTTCATATTATTCCTCTTGTCAAGTTCTAATCCTCAATCAGAACCAGAGATTCAAGGTAAAGATATAATTATCACCTCTCATAACAATATCAATTTGGGAACCAATGTCATCATTTAGTCCCTTTCCTATGAATTCTTCATACATCTCTACTGACTCAACAGCGGTAAAAATCTGTGGATTCACCTTCTGATCCACATTACCTCTAAAAGATATTATTAATCTCAACCAGATAGCATTAACAATCTGTGGCAACATTTTCCAGTTTTCAAAGTTTTCTGCAAATTTAAGAGATTAACAAAAGGATGCCCCTAGTGACAAGAATCCCATGGCCCTTGCCAGATCCTAAAAAGGTACATGCAAAAATAACAATGTATGCTTAACAGAATAATTACACATAAAGTACATTGTCTTCAATTTAATACAAATGGATGAAATAAAGTACCTATGGTTTAGATTAAATTCTAATATAAACAGTATAAAATCAAGGAATAAAAGGCCTCTATGAGATTCAAGTGCAGATCTTAGAAAGCTAAGATATTGGCTATATCTTTAATGGTAAATGCTTTATAAAGAAAAATGTTTTCAGAATGCTTAATCATATAAGTGGAGAACAAATTACAAACAAAAATTAGCTGGAAAGATTAATTCTATGAATCACTGTCACCTAAAATTACTCAGTAATATTTCATAAATTTTCAATGAAAACACTCAAATTTAAAATTCTGTTAAAAATGGCCTCTTCAATCATTCATCTTAACACTTACTAAATGTCCTTTCAATATCAGACTCTATATGCTAAGCTTTACAGGAAGACTAAGTACTAGCTAGAAAATTAAACAACAATAAGAACAAAAACCAAAAACAGGTATTGTCTCAGTCAAAGGAAAAACAAAGGATACTTTTTCTTACAATTCTTCTCATAACTTATCAGCTCCTTAAAAAAAGATATATAACTTTCCCCTGAACAAATTGCTACTTGAATTTCATGTCTGCAACTCTCTCAAAATTAGGATGTATTGTGCTTCATACATTAATATTATGGCTATACTCTTCTAACACATAATCAAAATGACTTTAACTTATTTTAACAAAAAAAAGTGGGAAATAAAACTCCAAGGAAGCATATTTCTACATTCTAATAACAAGGGTGAGTAATACTACTTCAAAAAAGTCTCTATATTAAAAATTACCAAAAGGAAAATGGAATTATGAGCAGAGAGTTTTTCAAGTGGCATGTGAAAAATGGAGTATAGGAAAAACAAATGGTTATGTATTACAGAAATAAAAAATCCCAAGCATGTTATAAACATGAAAAATCTAAAAGCAATGTAAATCATATACCTCCTTATGCCAGAAGGGCACTACCATGAATGTCAAAATGTATCTGAACAAGGTAGGTCTGCAGATGGAGGTTAAAAAATAACTTGGGAGTATTTTGATCACTTACTCAGGCCTTTTGATCCCATGTCGTCAGGGATCTCCTGTAGAGAGTAGTCCCCAGAGAGCAAGCAATAAAAAGATAATCAAAGAAAATAGTTGTCAGTAATGCATAAAATTGGTGCTACAGTAAGAGACAGTTCCAAGACCATTACAGGTGCACATATCTTACAGAGCAGTTTTGTGGATTTCTCAGAGTCTGAGATGAGCTAACAGCTAAACGTAATCTACTCAAAGAATGAAAAGTTCTAGCTTAGAGGCTGGTTAAGAGTAGAGAAGCAAAATTTTAGGCCATTTCTTGCTACTTTAAAAGAAAAACTGCAATCTATTTACAATGATGAAATAGGATAAAGTGTTATGATTCCAGAAAATCTGGCATCAAGTTCTGGAAATGCTACACCTAGAAATCAACAGGCAGCTTCTCAGGTATCCATGTTTTTCCTTCAAAATGTTCTTTGAGTGTATGAATGTAAAAGTGTTGTAACCTTTATTTCAAATAAAAATATTAACTTAAAAATATTGTTTGCTTTAAATTAAGAATTCCTAAAGTGCTTGAAAAAGTTGATAGGCATAGAAATTAATTCACACCTATTAAGTCACCTCTGGTTAAGACAATTAGTAACCTGTTGCAGCTCTTGAAACTGTCTCCATGGTAACAACCAACTGCAGGGCAGTAGGTCCCTCTATATTTATTTTCAGTTGACCACTGGATCCACATACTTACGGTCAGCATCACTTGTTTCCTGCTCACTCTGGTCCTTGTTCTTGTAGAAGGGGAATTTTCGGGAAAAGAGGTTCTTTTTACGCTTGTCATTGAATGACTGCTGAAGAAGAGAAGGAGGGGCAAAACAAAGGGATGTCTACTGTCTGTGTGTACAAAGGCCCAGCCTAGCAGTTCTTGGAAGCTGACTCCTGTGACCACAGTGTGCAGTCTGTGTACAAATTTTACTTTCATTACATAGAAAATGAATTTCTAATTTTGTATACATTTCTCTAATATTTTATAACTGGAAGTATTAAAAAATTTTAAAGAATGTAATTCAGTTATATCTTAAAATAAGGAATAAAATGCTACTTGACAAAGAAGGTAAATAAATCTGATTACTATAATACCAACTTTTTTCTATCAATCCATATTTTTCTAGAAGAATTTCTAAATATAAGTACTAAGTACTGCACACCAAATTATTTTAAATGTTACTTTGCTGCCGAATTATTTCTTATGTATTAGGTAGTAATCTTCATTTTACTTGGACCTCACCACAGATTTTCCTTTTTTATTGAGCTATAATGAACTAATTGAAAAGACACTATTTAAAAAGTAAAACAAAATAATTGTGAGAAAGCTTGTAATGCCAAGTATTTAAAAACAATCATTTTTATTTTTGGAAGAGGAAAAAAGATAATTAAAAGCTTATGGTGTGAATTAGAAAATGGGAAAAAAAACTGAGAGGCCCATCAATCAGATAGAATCCAGGCAAAAGATTCCTATATGCTATCTAAGCAAAGGAAAAAGAGCAGAAGTCAGTCTCTTGGCCAATTTAAATGCTGTTACAACGGATTTGTTTTTAAGCTACACTATAATTGCTTTTAAAACAATATTTATTTTAAGTATTTGAAAGGCAGAGTTACAGATAGAGAAAGAAAAGGGAGAGAGAGATCATCTGCTGGTTCCCTTCCCAAATGGCTCTAATAGCTGAGGCTGGGTCAGATGAGAGCCTGGAATTCCATTTGGATAGACCATGTGGGTGGCAGGGGCCTAAGTGCTTGGGCCATCTTTGGCTGCTTTCCCAGATGCACTCACAGAGAGCTGGATGAGAGTGAAGCAGCTGGGATTTGAAACGGTGCTCATATGGGATATTGGTGTCGCTGGCGGCAGGTTAACCCACTGTGCCATGACACCAGTATAATTATCTTTTTAAAAAAGTTGAGTGTATAAATGGAACCACATAGAATCCATTGGTATCATATGCTCATTGGTACCATATGCTGCATACCAAATAAAAAGTGTGGTATTCATTAAAGCCACAAATGCAATTAAGATTCTAGTACTTTATACATAATTGTCACAAGGTGACTAGGCAGATTTGATGTCTGACATTGCATGATGTTGAAAGCAGTATTTTCCCTTAAGTGTCTCATTTGTGCATTCAGATTTAAGAGCATGTACCATAAATAATGTTGAGGCTATTCAAGAGGAATAGCTTCGTTTATGACTTCTCTCACAGGTGTTGATGTTTTGAAGGAAATGGCCTTACCTACCAGTGACACTAGAAATTATTTTGGAGGTAAAGAAGGAAACAATATAAAGGACAAACATTTCATTCTGTTTTTTCTTGAGTTTATTACGTCACCTCATTATTGATTGTCATAAGTTGCCACAGGAGGCCATCGAATCCTTCGTTTGCTTTCTACAATTTCAGTTACTATGATTCCAAATATTAAATGGAAAATTCCAGAGACAGATAATCCCTAGGTTTTAAACTGCACACCATTTTGGGGGGCATGATGAAAGCCCATACTTGTTCTATTTTGTCATGCTCGGAATGTGACTCATCCCTTTATTTTGTGTATCCAGCCTTTATATACTATCTGCCCACTTTTTATTAGATCAACAGGCTGCAGTATCACAGGGCCTGTTTTCAAGTCACTCTTATCATCTTTAACAGTGGCCCCAAAGTACAAGAGTAGTGATGTTGGCCATTTTATATGATTACTATTGTTCTATTTTGTTATTGTTGTTAATCTCTTACTGTACCTACTTTATAAATTAAACTTTGTCACAGGTATGTTGGAAGGTACATAGGAAAAACCGTAGCATACGCAGGGTTTGGTTTCAGGTGTTTACTGGGAGTTTTGTAACGTATCTACTCTAGAAAGGGGCAGAGTTATCACACAGTTATTTTAAAGTTCCAACAGTAGGCACTGTGTTTTTGGTATGTTCTTATTTTTAAGCACATGATGGAAGATGATTAAGATAAAGTGGACCCCACTGAGTTTTACCTCCAGTTCTATAAGGAGCTTAAAAGGAGGATCTATTTTGATAAGGATCTTTACAAAAACAAGGTTAAACTTTTCTTTTTACTTTTCATGTCTATAATTCAGGACAAAATATGTTCACAGTTCATTAGCCAACTATACTGTCTTGATTTCAATCATACATTTTGAAGGCTCTGAGGAACTAGATAAAAGAGAACTCTAAGCTGAAATTAAAAACTTTGTGGATAGGCTGGCACCGTGGCTCACTAGGCTAATCCTCCGCCTGCAGCGCCGGCACACGGGTTCTAGTCCTGGTCAGGGTGCCGGATTCTGTCCCGGTTGCTCCTCTTCCAGGCCAGCTCTCTGCTGTGGTCCGGGAAGGCAGCGGAGGATGGCCCAAGTGCTTGGGTCCTGTACCCGCATGGGAGACCAGGAGGAAGCTCCTGGCTCCTGGCTTTGGATCGGCACAGCGCGCCAGCCATAGTGGCCATTTGGGGAGTGAACCAATGGAAGGAAGACCTTTCTCCCTGTCTCTCTCTCTCACTGTCTAACTCTGCTTCTCTCACTGTCCATAACTCTCTGTCTCTCTCTCTCACTGTCTAACTCTGCCTGGCAAAAACAAAACAAAACAAAACAAAAACAAAAACAAAACCAAACTTTGTGCATGAGAAAAAGATAGTGTCTCCAAACTGTCAAGTAGCATTATTTGAATAAAAATCCTTGTGTGAATTCAAATTTTAGGAAGGAGAAAAAGAAACAAAATTAAGTATCAATGGAGAAAAATATGATAATTTAATTTAGTGAAGGGTTAAACCTTATTGCTTGTAAGAATCACCGGTTTTGAATTTAGTAATAACTTTTACAGTCTGCTGAAAGTTATTTTTAAATAAAGGTTATATTCCCCTCCTACTGCATATATAGTGGTCAGAGTCAGTTTCACAGCAAACAACCAAAAGAAACATGAAGTTTAAAATGTTTTGATTCTTGATAACTCTATTAGCCAAATTGAGATATCGTAAAGATATCATAATATAGAACAGAAAGGAATGATTGTTAGTTAAGAAATATATTAATTGTTTAACATTTAATATCATCTGGGTGAAAAATTTATTAAATGTGAAAATAAATAGCACAAGCAAACAAGACAAAAATGTGCAGGGAAAGTACAAAACTGAAGAGACATGCTACCTCCAGTTTCTCTATATTTTCAATCAAAAACACAATGATTAATTACTTAATATTAATGCTGTATTGCAAGAGAGTGCAATAAATATAAGAGCTGATAAAATATGACAAATTCAGGACACATTCAATGTGGAGATATTTCCATATGTAGTATTTCAAAATAGCCAAGTGAATGTTAAAAATTTTTATTGAGAAACTGAAATGTTTTAAGTCTGTAGTGAAAATAAAGACTACAAATCACCAGATAAGGAAAGGAAGAGGAGAAGTGGGAAATGGTATCATGGAAGGTAATGCAGTTCTGCATCAATGGCAAGCGTATTTTTACCCCACTTGGTATCATGCATACTTTTGGTGCTGTGTTAGAACCACAGTGACTGTGTATAAAGTTGGTTACAGTCAACAAACAAGACTGAGATTTAAATATGCCGTTAATTTAGTTAACATCTTACAGTATGAAAGAAAAGTTACAACATGCAACCTCTTTTTCATATCACTGACAGTGTATTGTACAAAATTATTTTTAAAGACACACATAAAACAAGCACAAAGCATTGTACTCATTTCAAATCCTGAGCATTTACTATTTTAAATAATGCTTTAGATCATGCTTTATCTGTGTTTCCTGAAAGCTACAATTTTAAAGCAACTTATCACTTCTAAAAAAGTGAAACAGTCTAATACAGTACATAATTTACTACAATTTAATTTCTTGGACTAAAGATCAAATTTATCTTTAAATTTTAAAGCTTTAAGTTAGAATATTCGATATCAGATGTACACAGTAAATGTATTTGTTAACTTTCCACGTTCATTTCAAATATTATCAAAGGGCTTAAGTAAAAAAAAAAAATCCAAAACATAAAACATTGCTATGAGTAGTTATTTTAAAACAGTATGTTTTTAGCTCTCTCTTCAGGCTTATTGCTAAAATATTCCAATGCAATGAGTTCAAGATAGTTAGGAATTATACAGTACAAGATAAACCTGCACACTACCCTTCTCATGTTCTCATATTCAAGTAGAACTTAAAAACAAATAAGAAAAATATGCATCTAAAATATATATATAAAATAATTTCTTTAATTTTTTTTTTTTGATCATCCACAAACCTCTCCTCTTCACTATCACTTTCCTTGTTCCCTCCAAATAAAAATGCACACTGGTTCCAACATTTAAAACATGGATTCTATTCAGAAATTTTATCAGGAGTAAAGACAGGAAAGAACAAGAAACTTTTCATTATTTTTTTAGAAAGCTTTTATTTAAAAAATATAAATTTCATAGGTACAGCTTTAGGGATATAGCGGTCAAAGACTTTCTATAACTTCATTTGCATCAACTTATCAACTTACATTATGACTTAAATCATAACTTGTATCTCAGGCCTATATTACAGAGGGTCATTATTAAATTAGCTATAGTGATTAATACTGGCAATACAAGTTTCAAATTATACATCTGAATGAAGGTTGAATCCATTTCATTTGTAAAAATAACGGTGACCAAAAGTATGTTGCTAAAAATTTATCAACTGATAGCTTGATAATTTGCAAAGACCTGTGAAATGTGTACACCTATCTAATAAATGCTTACTTTAGTGTCTCATAGCTAAATCATACAGCAAAATCCTTATTTTAACAATACAGCTAAATTAAAGAACTATGAAAAGGTCTTTTATCTTTGATTTTACATTCTAGATATGAGTTTTCATATACTCACCCCTTTATCTCCTCTTGTTTTAGAATTAAATTTCACTGTTTTTAATCGGGCTCGTTCTTTCTTCTCAACCCTGTTAAAATAGAGAGTGCTATATTTTAAGTATACCAAACATATTTAGTGGTTACACTAGAAATCATGGGAACTGATAACTTTATAATAGGCATTCGTTAAAAAAATTATTTATTTGAAAGGCAATTACAGAGAGGCAGAGGCAGAGGCAGAGATAGAAAGAGATCTTTCATTTATTAGTCTACTCCCCAAGTGGCCACAATGGCATGAGCTGGGCCCAATCCACAGCCAGGAGCCAATAGCTTCTTCCTGGTCTCTCACGTGGGCACAGGGGCCCAAGGACTTGGATCATCTTCAGCTTCTTATCCAGGCCCATTAGCAGGGAGCTGGATCGGAAGTGGTATAGCCAGAACTTGAACCGGCACCCATATGGGATGCTGGCACTACAGGTAGTGACTCTACCTGTTACGCGACAGCGCTGACCCCTGTAATAGGCATTTTTATATTCTAAAGAATTCTTTAGAAGCCAGCCAGGTTTGCATCCCAAAATTAATTAAAATTTCTGAAAAATGATATATAGTGCTCATTTTGTCAAGAAACAAAATGACTTATGTAGTATCAAAATATAATGGTGGCCGGCGCCGCGGCTCAATAGGCTAATCCTCCGCCTAGCGGCGCCGGTACACCGGGTTCTAGTCCCGGTCGGGGCACCGGATTCTGTCCCGGTTGCCCCTCTTCCAGGCCAGCCCTCTGCTGTGGCCAGGGAGTGCAGTGGAGGATGGCCCAGGTGCTTGGGCCCTGCACCCCATGGGAGACCAGGAAAAGCACCTGGCTCCTGGCTCCTGCCATCGGATCAGCGCGGTGCGCCGGCCGCAGCGCGCCGGCCGCGGCGGCCATTGGAGGGTGAACCAACGGCAAAAGGAAGACCTTTCTCTCTGTCTCTCTCTCTCACTGTCCACTCTGCCTGTCAAAAAAAAAAAAAAAAAAAAAAATATAATGGTATACATTTACATAGGTAATCAATTTATAATTACATAGAAAATATTACAAAGTACTATTTCTGAGTTTAGTAATTTTCTAGGTTTTGTTTTTATTTAAATATTAGTTTAGCATATAACACATATGCTAACAATTAAGCTTAAGAGAAAAAAAGCAAATGTGGCAAAACGTTAACAATTGCTGAAAGTGGGGGAAGGCATACCACACAAAAACCTTCCCAAGCAGCCTATGAATACAGGCATTTTCTTTAGTACCCAGCTCTATAGTGTTATTATGGATACGGCAAAATCTCAGCACTCACGGATTTAAAACAGTTTTTTACTATGTCAGAGAAACCCCAAGGGTTCAGAACATAAATAATTTACTATCTTGCCTAGGTAATTATCAAGCAAATCATAAAATGAGCATTTACAACTCAAAATGGCTTTGTTTTAATCATTATCTTATTCAGTAAATTGCTGAGTGACTTAAATTGTGTTTTTAAGTGCTGTCCCTGAAAGAGACTCAAGAGTTGTAGGAACTGTAATTCTTTACGCTATTAATGGAAGTAAAGAAGCCTAAGAAAGTAGTTCTATTGAAGAAAATACATGTTCTGAATACATTTAAGAACAAAATGGCATAATTACTTGAGGTTTCATACTGTATTTTATGGGAGAACAACTATATTCTATGATGCAACTCATTAATTTGGGGATGGGTATAGGTCTCCAGTTATATCCTTTATATTATTCTTGTTTTAAAATAATCTTACAGAATTTTTATACAAAGTGGAAACAACTTCTTACTAAATCATTAGTATCTCTCAATGGTTGTAGGCACATGTAAAAGTCTTCACAAGATATGAGGCTCTCAGGGATGACACAATTTTTAGGAACTCTGACCTTAAGATGTGAGGCTTCTACTATTTAACTAGGTAAACATAAAACATATTGAATTTTAAAGAGAATATGTTTTATTTCAGGAAAAAAGTTACACTGAAGGCATAACTGTTAAGAGCAGTCAGTAAATACAAAATCTAGTCAAATATACGGATGATCTCTTTGCCTGCTGCCCAGCTCTGTCTCTGCCTTTCAAATAAATAAATATTCAAAGAAATGTTTCTTGGGATGGGCACTGTGGCACAGCAGGTGAAGCTGCTGCCTGCAATGTCAGCATCTCATGTGGGCCCTAGTTTGTGTCTCAGCTGCTCCATTTCAGATACAGCTCCCTGCTGATGGCCTGGGAAAAGCAGTGGAAGCTGGGCCCCTGCTATCCACACAGGAGATCTGGAAGAAGCTCTTTGCTCCTGGCTTCGGCCTGGCCCAGCTCCAGCTGTTGCAGCCATTTGGGGAGTGATCCAGCAGATGGAAGATATCTCTATCTTTCCCTCTCTCCCTGTTACTTTCAAATAAATAAATCGTAAGATTTTTTCTTAAAAACAGGACTTTCAGATAATGATTTGGATAAATCAGATCCTATAAATAAACTATGTTGTGAGAATTACAAACTGACATTTTAATACTTTTCCCACAGAAATAAGAGACATTTAACAGTATTTCATAGACCTTGGAAGGGATTCTCTTAAGTTGGGATCACCTGTACCACTAAGTGGTAATTATGTACCAGTGAACCATTAACAATAATGGTTAAAAGCAAAAAGGAAATAGAGACTAGTGCATGGCATCAATATGTATAAATTAAAAATATAAAAAAGAGACACAAGGTATACTACCAAATAGTTCTACAATATACTTTATTTTGCTTTTAGTAACTAGTGTAATCAAGCTTATTAATGTATCTAACACTTCACATTAATTATCTTTTTGTGGATGAGGCAGTTACAATACTTAGGATCTACTCTTTTAGTAAATTTCACATATTTATTAGTACAGCATTGTTACCTAAGTTCATAATGCTGTATGTTGGATTTCCTTACATAACTGAAAATCTTCATCTCTTAACCACCGTCTTCCCATTGGCTCCTCTACCTAGACCCAGGTAACTACCACTCTACTCTTATCTGTTTGACTATTTTAGATTTCATATAAAGGTGGGATCATACAGTATTTGTCTGTGTCTTGCTGATTTTACTTAGCAGAATGTTCTCTAGGTCAATCCATGTTGTCACACAGTAAAAGAAATGAGAATAGAAACTATTTATGTTATCCAACTTTTCAAGTGGTAAGAAAAACACTTAACAGTTAGTTACCTGCGTTTACTGGGAATCACTCCAACTTCATCACTTTCACCATCTGGTGTAACCTGCCTGGCTTGCCACCATTCGTCATCGGAAGCATTAATGACATGGAGGATATCTCCAAATTTGAAGTTTAATCCCTGACTGGGAAGGCCACTGTCTTTAGTCTTGTCATAATCAAAAAGGGCTCTAGACGCAGAAGAAAAAAAGTCCATGATTATTTGTTATAATATTAACCAATATTAAATAAACATGAGATTCTAAAAGTATGTATCATTTGGATAAACAATATGCTGTAGTAGGAAAATAATGCCAAGTTCAACTTTGTACTATATGAGTATACAAGAAGGCAATTAGACCTAAAAGAAACAGCAAAATCAACTTGTTACAGACTATTTTGTAATTACATATATTACCTAGTTTCTTTCAATACTGGAGGACAGATCTTTTTTTTTCCTTTAAAAAAAGATTATTTATTTGGAAGACAGAGGACAGAGGAGGAGGGAGATGGAGAGATGAATGGGAGGTTGGGGGGGGAGAGGAAGTAGGAGGAGGAGGAGGAGGAGGAGGGAGGGAGGGAGGGAGAGAGGGCGGGGTGGGGGGGGGGAGAAAGAGAGAGATCTTCCATTAGCTGATTCTCTTCCCAAATGGTGACAGTAGCTAGGCCAAAGCCAGGAGCCAAGACTCTATCCTGGTCTCCCATGTGGATGACTGGGGCCATCTTCTGCTGCCTTCCCAGGTGCAAGATCAGGGAGTGGGATTGGAAGCAGAGCAACCAGAACTTGAACTGGCACTCAGATATGGAATGCTGGTGTGGCAAGCAGGTGAGTGCTTAACTTATTGCATCACAATGCGCCTGTTTCTTTTTAAATTTGACAGCTAGAAATGTAAAAACAGCATATGTGGCTTATATAATGTTTCCATTGGACAGTGTTGCTATAGATGAATTAGTAAGTGCTTTGGAATCAGAATGGTAAAAGTTTGGGTACCAGGTCCACTACTTTAGTTTTGTTTTAATTTCTGTGTCAGTTTTACTTTGGGAAGTTTATCTAGTTCTCTTCAGTCCTTTCTCATCTATCAAATGGAGATAATAAAACTACCTTGTAGGGTTGTTTTGAGGATTAATTCAGATATTGTAGAATGTGTAGGAGAAATTTAAAAAACCTTTTAGCGCAATCCAGGGGCAACCTATAATGGATTCTAAAATGAAGACAAACCTAGAAAGTTGCTCTTAATAAACCAAAGGTAAACAAGAACATTGTTAAAGTAAACATTGAGAGGTTCTTTACTTTGACTAGATACTTTAGAAAAAGAAATTCCATGGGCCGGCGCCGCGGCTCACTAGGCTAATCCTCCACCTGCGGCACCGGCACCCAGGGTTCTGTCTCGGTCGTTCCTCTTCCAGTCCAGCTCTCTGCTGTGGCCCAGGAAGGCAGTGGAGGATGGCCCAGGTCCTTGGGCCCTGTACCTGCAAGGGAGACCGGGAGGAAGCACCTGGCTCCTGGCTTCGGATCGGCGCAGTGCGCCGGCCGCAACGTGCCAGCCATAGCAGCCACTTGAGGGGTGAACCAACGGAAAAAGGAAGACCTTTCTCTCTGTCTCTCTAACTAACTCTGCCTGTCCAAAAAAAAAAAAAAAAAAAAAAAAATTTCCTGGTAGATTTGGTTAGTCGTGGACTGTAAAACAGACTGACATAGTATTTATTCTACCAGTTAATTATTCCTTCTATGTATTCACATAACTAGAGTCAATAGTTTTCAGAATCAATATCAATGATGAAAATTATTGATAATTTTATCAACTGCCAAATATTTTGGAAAAATATTAATTTAATTTGGTAACTATAGAATGTTAAGTATATTTTAAAATCTGATAGAAAACTGTGTCTATTAAAGTACAGTATTTAAAACAGTTAAATTGTTAAGTCCAAATAAGTTCACTAGAGAGTACAGGAAGGTATCTCAGCAATTACTTTTTTTTTTTTTGTTTTAAATTTTTTTTTTATTTGACAGGTAGAGTTATAGACAGTGAGAGAGAGAGACAGAGAAAGGTCTTCCTTCCATTGATTCACTCCCCAAATGACCACTACAGCTGGAGCTGTGCTTTTTCCTGGACTCCCATGTGGGTGCAGGAGCCCAAGCACTTGGGCCATCCTCCACTGCCTTCCAGGGCCACAGCAGAGAGCTGGACTGGAAGAGGAGCAACTGGGACTAGAACCCGGCACCCATATGAGATGTCGGCGCCGCAGGCGGAGGATTAACCAAGTGAGCCAAGGCGCCGGCCCTAGCAATTACTTATAATGTAATTTATTCATTCATTTATCCTAACTCGGCAACTGGAAATTAGAACAAAAATCATATTCGTTTTCATGCTACCCAACTTTTTTTTTTTTTTTTTAATTTTTTTTATTTTTTATTTTTTTGACAGGCAGAGTGGACAGTGAGAGAGAGAGACAGAGAGAAAGGTCTTCCTTTGCCGTTGGTTCACCCTCCAATGGCCGCCGCGGCCGGCGCGCTGCGGCCGGCGCACCGCGCCGATCCGATGGCAGGAGCCAGGAGTCAGGTGCTTTTCCTGGTCTCCCATGGGGTGCAGGGCCCAAGCACCTGGGCCATCCTCCACTGCACTCCCTGGCCACAGCAGAGGGCTGGCCTGGAAGAGGGGCAACCGGGACAGAATCCGGCGCCCCGACCGGGACTAGAACCCGGTGTGCCGGCGCCGCTAGGCGGAGGATTAGCCTAGTGAGCCGCGGCGCCGGCCTACCCAACTTTTTTTTATGATTTATTTATTTGAAAGTCAGAGTTATAGAGAGGCAGAGGCAGAGAGAGATCTTTCATCTACTGGTTCACTCCACAAATGGCTGCAACAGCCAGAGCTGGGCCGATCCAAACCAGGAGCCAGGAGCTTCTTCCAGCTCTCCCACGCAGGTGCCTAACCACTTGGGCCATCTTTTACTGCTTTCCCAGGGCATAGCAGAGAGCTGGACTAGAAGTAGAGCAGCTAGGTCTTGAACCAGTGCCCATATGGGATGCCGGTGCTGCAGGTAGCGACCTTACCACAGCACTGGCCCTCATGCTACGCAACTTTTAAGAAATCATCTCTTTGGGCCACTGTTATGGCACTGGAGGATAAAGCTGCTGTCTGTACCTGTATGGGTGCTGATTCATATCCTGGCTACCCCCTTTCCCATCCAGCTCCCTGCTAAATGCCCGAGAAAAGCAGTGGAAAATGTTAACTGTTGGGCCTCTGCCACTCTTGTGGAAGACCTGGATGAAGCTCCTGGCTCCTGGTTTTAACCTGGCCCAACCCTGGCTGTTGCAGCCATCTGGGGAGTAAACTAGGGATTGGAATTTCTCTCTTTCAAATAAATATATTTGATGGCTAAATAAATTAATTAGTCAATGGCTTTTTTTTTTTGGACAGGCAGAGTTAGTGAGAGAGAGAGAGAGAGAGAGAGAGAGAGACAGAGAGAAAGGTCTTCCTTTTTCCGTTGATTCACCCCCCAAGTGGCTGCTATGCCGGTGCATTGTGGTCGGCGTGCTGCGCCGATCCGAAGTCAGGAGCCAGGTGCTTCCTCCCGGTCTCCCATGAGGGTGCAGGGCCCAAGGACCTGGGCCATCCTCCACTGCCTTTCCATGCCGTAGCAGAGAGCTGGACTGGAAGAGGAGCAACTGGGACAGAATCTGGCACCCCAACTGGGACTAGAACCCGGGGTGCTGGCCGTCAATGGCTTTAAAATGTGTTCTTTAATGTCTTCCAAGTTGATGGTGTGAAGTATGATTGGGGAATCAAAATTGGGAAGGCTCATTTAAACATATATTAAAACATATAGAAGACTATAAATACATGGATACAAACGAATATAACATGAAAGTAACTTAGAGGTAGAATGTCAAAAGAAATACAAAAATATCTCAACATTTTTATTATCATAAATCTATCTTTTGAATAAAAAATGTAATATTAACTATATGATGAACAAAGAACAAAAGAAAATAAATCATAATCTCTGTTCTTTGTGTCAGCATTTTAACTTAATGTTTGATTCACATACACACAAAAAGAACCCACAGAATAGGTTATGAGTTAATAAAGCTAATATAAAGACCACTTGTTAACTACTATCCAACTTAAGTCTGTACACAAAATCTATTTCAGTAATTCACAATCATCTTGTAGTTTTCAATGACCTTGTTTCCCTCAGTTCAGAAGTTAATCATTATTAGCAGTTAAATGTCATTGTGAATATAGTATTTATTTTCTTGATTCTCATCCTCTGTTGGTTTGGTTTTATCATATATGTGTGGATGACTAAGCAGTATAATGTATAGTTTTGCATGTTTCAGAGCTTTATCAAAAGATATACTGTATGAGTATGGCACATGTTTCCTCAAACTACCCCAAGAGTAAAACTAAACACTTGCCATGGGACTCCAAATCCCAGTAAGTTGGCAGGTACCAATGCCATCTTACTAAAGTGATCAGTTTAAGTTCATAACTAATCGTAAAGATAGGATTAAGTGTCAAAGGGATCACATAAGTAAGACCAAGTGTCTGCTAATAATAACTGATAGAATTAAAAAGGAGAGAACGATCCAAAATGGGAAGCAGGCCACACAGCAGACTCATAGAAAGACAAATGCCCTCAACAGCACTCTGGCCTCACAATCAGCCCTTAAGGCCTTAAAGATCTGCCTAAAAAGCCTATGACAGCATTTCAGGCATGGAAAGCCAAGACACTGTGGCAAAAAATGACCTACACGAAAGATCTCTGTGAGTGAGATCCTGGTGGAAAGGGGCCATCAAAGAAGGAGGTACCTTTCCCTGAAGGGAGGAGAGAACTTCCACTTTGATTATGGTCCTGTCTAAATAAGGTTGGAGTCTGTGGACTTAAGAGGCTTTCATAGCCTTGGCAGCTCATGACAAAAGCCTCAGGTGATCACTGATGTCATTAATAAGAGTGTCAGTTGTTAAATCAACAACAAGAGTCACTGTGCATTTGCTTCCCATGTAGAATTAACGGTAAAACTAGTCTTCAAACAGTACTTTATACTTTGCGAGTTCTTGTGGGTGCAAACTGTTGAAAACTTAGTACAGAGTTGATCTTCTATATATAAAGATAATTAAAAATGAATCTTGATGAAGAATGGGATGGGAGAGGCAGTAGGAGGTGGGATGGTTTGGGGGTGGGA